TATAAAATATACGTACACACACACATACAGGAATAAAAAAAAATGTTTATCTTTTATATTAAAAATCGAGATAACTATATTACAGTTTTAAAAAAGAAATGATGAAAATGTATTTGATATCCGTACCTATGTAGTAGCCAAGAATAAGTAAAGACAAAGAGAGGAAAAGAACAGAGATATAATAAAAATTCAGGAATCAGCGCCATCTTCAGAGTGCCGTAGATTAAACATAAATACAGACAAATATAATAAATAATAATAAATAAGAGAAAGACAGAGATAGAATCAGAATTGTTTACCAACGCCATCTTTTGAATATCAAAAACATAGAAATGATAAGATAAGAATTGGAAACTACTGCCATCTTTTAGAAAAATGTCTCTCCATTCAAAAGATGGCGCTGATTTTCAATTTTTTGCTATTTCCATTTTTCTTTGACAATTTGCTCTTCTTGTTTATTTATTTTATTCAAGACTAAGAGTTCAAGGATAAAAACATACCCAATACGTACACATATACTTTATATAATCAAATATAATTAATTAAAAGAAGCATTAAATCTTTTATTTTTAATGTAATAAAAAATGCCTCCAAAATCTAGATCGGTATATAAAATCTTCTTTTTTCTTTCTTTTTATTATAAATTTAAAAAATGAATAGTATTATATTAATTCTAATTTATACAAAAACATATTATTTATACAAAACATTTATACAAAACATATTATAGCTCATATTAACAACAATTCTCAATCTATAATAAATAATAATTTCAGAATTCTAAGGAAACAGGAATGAATAAAAAGATTTCAGATCAATCAAAATTGACACATACTTGTGTAGAAACTAGTAGTGGTTTGAGCCAGGAAGTTGAAGATCAATTTGAATTAGAATTATGTTGGTGTGTTCAACAGTTAGAAATGTGTTTATCCACTGGAAAGCTTCCTGAGAAACAAATGCATGATTTAAAAAGAAATATAAATATTTTAAAGAGCAATAATGCCTCTTTGATAAAAAAGAGACAAGTAATGCGTAATACTTTAGGAAATTATAGAGAAAAAATGGCTTTGGACGAACAAAAATTTGGCAAAACTGCATTTTCTATCAAATTTATACCAATAACCAATCAAAATAAGAAAAGTATATTTTTAAAGAAAGCTGTTTCTACATCTTCTTCTATATCTTCAAAGGAAAAACAATATTTGAAAACTATCGCATTATATCCAAACTCAAATGAAAATACTATAGATATTAATAATGTACAAAATCTATTTAAATTTAATTTTCAAATTATTGAATAAAAGAATTTTATATATATTTATATAAAATGACAATTATTGGTTTTACTATAATTTTTTATTATTTTTATTTTTTATAAGATTTTTTTAAATATATCTTATTAAAAATAAAAACTGGAATAATTTTAGTAATATTTAATAATATTTAATAATAAGTTTATGCTCATGTATATCTGATAATACAATATAAAAGTGTACGTGTACATATATATGTATACATACATTTATTTATATTTTATAGGTATTATTATTTTATAAAGTATTATTTGTTATCAATATGGTCCTGTGGCGCAACGGATAACGCGTCTGACTACGGATCAGAAGATTCCAGGTTCGAATCCTGGCAGGATCGATAAAGTTTTTTTTCTATTAAGACAATTTTTAATCGATCAAATTATGAGAAAGAAAATGTATAAAGAAAGATGTTGAATATTTAAGAAGATAAAATAAATTCTATTTTTGTGCGCCCAAAATTATGCGCCTAAATATGGAACTATTGATTCAAATAAAAAAAAAAAAAATAATTAAAAATTTATAAAGGACAAAAACTTCTTACTATAGAATTTACATTAAAAGTAAAATAAAAAAATAGCATAAATAAATAACAATAAATTAAAATGAAAGCAAAAGAAAGATATTTAAAAAATACATTTCTTAATCTTAATTTTAATTTAAATCTAAGCAGGTTCTGAAACGAATAAAGAAATTCATTATATAAATAAATATTATGTTATGATATATTTAACAACCAGTAGTAACAAAGGTATCTCATCTCTCTTACATACTTATAGCAACAGAAGAGCACTCTTTATCATATGATACAAGCTTGAATCTGTATATAATTATATATAATATAGATATTTAGGTTGTCTTAAAAGTCTATCGCATAATTTATCGATAAAGAAATAATAGAAACAATGAATAATATAGATATATATCATTATTTGATTTTATTTTTAAGGAAATCTATAGTAGAAAAAAAAAAATGTAAATTCTCTTTAGCATAAGCAAATTGTTTGAATTAAATAAGAATACTATATTATTCTTCGGACAAGTATCGATGCAAATTCAATAAACGTGATTATATTGATATAAATGATACGATTAAATACAAATTATCAAAAGATTGCACTAGACTCTTATGACATCCTATATATTTATACATTTTCAAAAAATCACTTTTATTTTTTTCTTCATTTCACTTCTTCTTTTTTTATTTATTATTTTTAATAACGTAACAGTAATATATATATCTAGAAAAAAATCAGTTCCTCCTTATTACGGTCCAACTGATAGCAACTTAGACTCAATAATGACTTTTACGATTTCTAAATAGAAATATCTTCTTATTAAAGAAATATGATTTTCTAATATATAATCTTATATTAAATATATATAATATATAGTCTATATATATATATATCTGATCCCCCTTCCCCCCATTTCTCATTTAAATCTCTTTCTTTTAATTTATTTTTTCTTTATTTTTTTCATTATATAATTAACATTATATAATTACATTTGAAAATCACACAATGATTTAGAAATTACATTCTTCACAATATTTCGATAAGATAAGTTTTCTTTTTTCTTATTTTTAAAGTTTTTCTGACTTTTTTTTTTACTTTTTTGGTCTTTGCAAAGTGATTTCGCCTCAGCCGTCTTTGGTAGAAGCACGTTTTCCATTATGTGGAACGCTTTCATCTTCTTCTTAATTTTTTTTTGTTTTTTTTTTTTTTTTTTACTTTTTAGAGAATTTTTTTTCTCGGTTGCGTCTCTCTGTTCCCTGAGTCCGTGTACAACCATTCAGTCTTCGCCATCCTTTCTCCTTCACTTATATTTTTTACTTTTTTCTTCTTTTTCTTTAATGTTGCACTTTTTTTCACAGCAGTCTCACACCTCTTTTCCTTTTCTTTTATCTATCTATTTTGCTTAAACACTAAACTGGTACATTGTGACTCGCAGATTTGTTCGCATCTCAAAAATTAGTTACGAATTAACGTTTATTCTCAAACTCAACGTTAAGTTAATAAATGGAAGTTATTTAAAAAATTACATATTATTTTTGATTTGGAAGATGTGAATATAATAATTTTGGAAGATTTCTGAGTATAAATCTTAATATAAAAAATAATATTAAAAAATTGATGATAATTCTACATAATAAAATGAATAAAAATTATAGGGTGATATTTTTACGTACAAAGATCTGTTTTTAAAAATTAATTTTCAAAATACGAACAGTATGTACTTTATATTTTTTTAAAAATTTAATTACATTAAAAGAATATAACATAATTTTATGTACGTTCTTTTTATTTTTGAATATATAATTGAATAATTTTTAAAATATTATAAATATTCATAGTTTTAAAAATATTATAAAATCATAAATATATTTTTTAATTAAAATATTAATTACCAAATCGTATAATTTCCGAATATTTCCAAACTTAAATTTCTAGAATTAAAATTCATATATAATACGTAAAAATTTCACTCTGTTTTTTTAATTTATTTTTATACCTAGAATCATTTAGTCGAATTTTTTTATCAAAAAATAATTTTTTTTTTATCAAAAAAAATTTTATATAATCTGAATTATGATAAATTATCGATGAAGAACATATCCATGAGTCACCATAATAATAAATCAATGTTTAATAAAAACATTGAAAATTAATGAACTATCATCACACATTATAGAATTAACTTTCGTGTTTCAACGATATCTGTTTCAACTTCTCATTATAGAAGAACTTAGAAGAACAAAACTTATATTTTATATCTAAAAGCTTATTAATAAAATTAAAAAATTATTATTAAAATTAATTTTTTTAATACGACAATTATTAAAAGTATTTTAAATAATTATTCAAATTGTTTTCTACAATAGAGAAGCTGAATCGTATAAAATCGCATCGAAAACTCTATGAAAATAAATTTCAACATAATTTTACTTCGATTTACTTCACACTTGCAAAATATATACATTTCTCTCTCTTTCTTATCTGTTCATTCATTCCTTCATTCTCTCTCTCTCTCTCTCTCTCTCTCTCTCTCTCTCTCTCTCTCTCTCTCTCTC